TCATAATGGTGGCCTCTGCTGTTTTGAGGAGGGCGGTCCTGGCAGGCTGGTTTTTGGTCACAGCCAGCCTGCGGAGCTCCTCCATGACGACTTGGAGGAAGCCCCCGGGATCGCCCTCGCTCCCGGAACCGCGTTCGCCCTCCGACATGTCGACGCCGGACATTTCCGCCGCGGAGGACTCTGAGCGGGCAGCGCTCGAAAGAGCCCTGCCCTCCGCAGCCAGCTGCTCGGCTGACTCCGCGCAGGCAGCTGGTGCCGGTTTTCGGCGACCGCTGCCCTTGCCACCTCTACCCCGCGCCGCCGTGGGGATCTTAGGGGGAGGCGCCTCCTGCGCGCCAGTGGACGGGGACGGAACGTCCTCCTCCAGTCTGGGACGCTTACACGTCCCCGTCACGCGACGGCGTGAGCTCTTCGAGCTCACGCTCAATCGCTCCGCCAGCGATGTGTCGGACTCAGAGTCCGACCCCCTCCGACTAGACTCCCGTGTGTGGGGCCTGCTAGACGAGTCCAGCGCCTCACCACGAGTCCCGGAGCCACTAGGGCTCCCTTCACCCGCTACTGCAGGCGAGCCGAGCTCACCCGCAATCTCCTTCTTCAATGTGGTTTTTTTTGTTTTTATTTTAACATTCTCCATTTGAATCCCACGAGTATGGGGGAAATATTCGGTCCACCCAGGCAGTGCCCCCTGTACCTGGGTAAGTGTTCATTTGTTTCCCAACTAGAGGTTCCACTGGTCCCCTAGCTGGGGGTGCGCTCGCGACTGACACTACTCCTCAGCCATGCATACTCTCGCCGCGCACCAGAACTTAGTATTGGAGGAATTTTTTATAGAGGTTATCTTCCTCGCGGTCCGGGCGACCAAGCCAAGACCCTCGTCCCGTTCAGAGTCACAAAACATGACCGTGACCTCCTTACGGATTACGATATCGACGGCTGCAATCGGGGACAGCTTGTGTCCCGATGCTGCTCGCTGGCAGGGTGAGTGCACAACGAGCACCGCCCTTGCCTCTCCGCCACGCTCTCTGCTAAGTTCAGAGAGACAGGCGGAGAAACGCCCCACGGAAGCGCGGGCCATGAGCACACAGCCCGCCGCCTCCAGAACCCTATCGGGTTCGCCCGCCCAGTTCAGAAGTCTGCTGCGGGCGACAGTCACACCGAACCCTATCACCCCTGGTAGGGAGACTGTCGCCCGCACCCAGGGTGCACCACGGGGAGGTCTTCTGGCACCGCACCCCATTCACTACTGTTTAACGTTCACTACACATTCACACAAATATAATATCACTTGAGAGAACGAGGGTTTTTGATCAGAATATTATTATCAAAACACAACTTTGGATGTTGACGGCGGACTCATTGTATGTTGAGGTTGCACAGTTTCGACCTTAATACTGGGTAAGGCTACAGAACTGGCTACCATTTCTTTTCTTAACCATTTCCTCACGCCTCTAATAAATCTTCGTTTCAGTACGTAGGCAAATACCATTATTAACCATCACTACGCCAATAATATTTAGCTTATTATGCTCATGGGTCACGTTTAATAAATTTTCGTTTACAATTGCGTTCTCTTTCGTTTGATTAGAACCCATTTTGCTAATTTAGTCAACTATACTGATGTATCGTCTCAACGTAATTGAAATTAAAGATCACGATACCACAATTTGAAACGAATGTCCTAAATAAATCTGCAAAATTAACATTTTAACAATGAAATAATTTATCGGTATTTCAATGGCTTTTTGCTTAATCGACCAGTTCGCGTAGTATAAACTTTACTGTCGGGTTCGTCCGTTTGAATTGTTACTTTTTTCGTAACTTTTTGACAAATCCCTATTACTATTATCAACTACTTTAGATTGCGATTCATCCTCTATTAACATGTACGCTGGTTTTAGACGATCTATGGAAACTTTAACTTGTCGGTCTGGCAACTGAATACAAAATACTTTATTATCTCTACTTATGACGCGATATGATCCGTCGTAAGGGGGTTGTAACGGTTTCCGTACTGCGTCATTACGGATAAAAATATATTCACAATTATACAAGTCTTTATACACAAAAATCTTATTTGGTGATTTATTTTTCCTATTAGATGGCTTTAACCCGTCAATTACAATTTTTAACTTATTTACGAAATTTTCTGAATCGCTAATTTTCAAATCAGTTGTATCATAAAAGTCACCGGGTAATCTAATATTACTGCCAGTGCGTAACCCCAACATTACAGCTGCCAATTCGTCAACCCAGCATTTATTATTTAAGCGAGCCATTAACGCGGCTTTTAAAGATCTATGCCAACGTTCTACTAAACCATTACATAGGATGATAAGGAGTTGTACGTGTCTTTATAATTCCCATTAAAATAATTAATTCTTTAAATAAAGTTACTTTCGAACTGACGACCCTGATCACTAGTGAGCTTTATAGGACAACCAAAACGACTAATCCAACCTTCATATAATGTTTTCGCTACGATTTCTGCAGTTATCTCTTTTAGTGGAAATGCCTCTGGCCAACGTGTGAATCTATCGATAATCGTTAAACAATATCTATAACCTTCTGGCGAGGTTGGTAACGGTCCTATAATATCAATATGAATATGCTCAAAACGTTAAGTACTTTTAAAGGACTTTAAATCAGAAACCGTATGTTTTTGAACTTTCGCTTTTTGACATTTTACGCATGTTTTAGTCCAATTACCAATATCTCTATTCATTTCAGGCCAAAAATATCTATCTTTTACTAATTTTTTACTTGTCTTAATACCAGGATGACTTAAATTATGAATAGAATCAAAAGCTAAACGACGAAAGTTTTCAGGTAAATATGGTCTTGCACTCTTAGTAGACATTTCGCAATAAACATGTTTATCAGTATCGAGTAACGTTACGCGTTTTAATATTACTTTACTGTTGTTATTTGATGCGCTCAATAATTTTGCAAGCTGTTCGTCAACTTCTTGCGCAGTGGCGAGTTCTGCGAAATCTAACGTCGTGTAACATGTTATTGTTTCAACTCTAGATAATGTGTCAGCAACTATATTATTATTTCCACTAATGTGTCGTATGTCAGTATTAAATTCACTAATAAACATAATTTGTCTAGCTCGCCTAGAAGTTTCTCTATTGGTACCTAATTTAGTAATCGCGAAAGTTAATGGTTTATGATCTGTAAAAATGATTAATTCTTGCCCTTCAACTAAATTACGAAAATGTATGATTGCTAAATAAATTGCTAAAAGTTCTCTATCATATGTACTATATTTCTTTTGGGCTTCAGTTAACTTTTTCGAAAAATATCTTAAAGGTTTCCAATTGCCATCAACTTTTTGTTGCAATACTGCACCTACACTTGTGTCTGATGCGTCAGTCATCAATGACAAAGGTGTATGTGCCGATGGTAAACACAATAAAGTAGCAATTTTAAATCATCTTTACGCTTTTTAAAATTTGTCGTAGCTTCAGGCGTCCAATTGATTTTACTTCTATCCTTACGCTTGGAATTCCCAAAATATTTATTTAATGCTGCCTGATGATCAGCCGAATGAGGTGTATGAGCTCTATAAAAATTTAACATACCTAAAAATCTTCTAAGTCCCTCTATGGTATCAGGTTTTGGAAAATCAATAATCGCTTTAACTTTATCTTCTAATGGTTTAATTCCTTCTGTAGAGACCTCAAAACCCAAAAACTCTAATGTACCTTTACCTAAACTACACTTTGAAAAATTAATCGTTATACGTTAATTAATTCATTAAAACGTTCAAAAACTTTTCGTAAATGTTCTCTATGCTGCTCTTCATTTTCCGATGCAATGATGACGTCATCCATGTAATTGAAAAGAAAATCTAAGCCTTGTAAAACAGTATGATGCATAAAACGTTGAAAAGTTTGTGCAGCATTTCTTAATCCAAATGGCATACGCACAAATTCAAATAAACCAAACGGTGTTATGACTGCAGTTTTCTCAATGTCATTTTCCGAAACTGGCACACAAAAATAGGCTCTATTTATATCTAGCTTTGAGAAAACCTTTTTATTATCTAACATATACGTAAAATCATGAAGACGGGGAACTGGATATCGATCAGGCTTAGTAATCGCATTTAAACGTCTATAATCTCCACAAGGTCTAATATTCCCGTCCTTCTTAGGAACAATATGCAAGGGACTTGCCCAAGCGCTTTTACTCGGCCTACAAATCCCAAGCTCTTGCATAATCTTAAACTCATTTTTAGCTTTTACGTACCTGTCTGGTGGTAACTGCCTGGCTCGTGCGTGCACTGGAGGTCCTGTGGTCTCAATGTGATGACAAACATTATGATTAGGCGTTTCTTTGTACGAAACTGGTTTAGTTACTTCTGGAAATTCACATAATAAATCATAATAAGGGCAATTATTTACAATAGTTTTCAAAGTGGGCTCACTAGAATTAGAAAGATTGCCTTTGGTGCTTAAATTAGTTATTTGATCGATTAACCTTCCTCCGTTCAAGTTAATTAACAACTGAAAATTAGCTAAGAAGTCAGCACCTAATATTGGTTGCTGTACGTCTGCTAATGTAAATAACCAACGGAATGCTCGTCTTAGATTTAAATCTTATTCTAAGTACAATGTACCATATGTGTTAATCTGAGTTCCATTTGCGGCAAAAAGTTTATAACAGCACTCACTTGTATTACCTTTCATGTAGGCTTCTTTCCGCGGTAACACTGACACGTTTGCACCACTATCCACTAAGAAGTTTAAGCCCGATTACCTGTCTCTGACACACAGACGGTGATTCCCGAAGGCACGGTCACAGCCTCCCGTCGCAGACTGCACCGACTCTAGTTCTCCGCTGGCTTGTCCTTGTCGTCTTTTTTCTTCCAGTTACATGGATCCACGCATTTAGTTGCCTTGCTGCGATACTTATAAACATGTGTTTGCCAATTTGTATCTTCGAATTTCCTTGTGCGACTTCTTGACCTTGACCTGGATCTGTTGCGTCTAAAGTTATTTGAACGGCCTCGTGATCTTGACTCTAAATTTTTGTAATCTATCACTCAATTTGTTAATTGCCGAAATAATTTGGTCCTGTGAACCCGATGGGTCTGGTTCCTGTTTGACAGTAGCAACACTATTTATGGGAGTCGTTGTTTCCATTACTTTATCAGCTATTGATGCTAATTTCTCTAGATCTTTTTCTTCCGTTACAGCCAAAACTCCTCGCACCGACGTTGGTAAATGATTTTGCCACATAACTATGAGTGTTTCGTTGGTTATTCGCCCCCTGGCTAGGTCTTGCATTTTTCTAAGTAATTGTGATGGTTTCTGGTCGCCTAATTCCATTTCGCCAATGAGTTTTTTTACTTGTCGCTCTTCCGATTCTTGATATATAAATATTAACTTATTCTTCAAGGTCTCATATTTATTTTTCTCAGGGGGATTCAAAAGGATCTCAGTAACTTGCTCAACTACGTCCTGGGGTAATTTTAAAATAATGACCTGGTACCTTGATTCGTCGGACATCTTCTGAGGATTTAGAACCGCTTCTGCTTGAATAAACCATGTTTTAGGCGACTTCTTCCAAAATTCCGGAATTCTAGCTGTGACGGAGATGGACGACAGTTGATGTTCTTCAATAACAACCTTCTTGTCTTCAGACGACATTGTAATTTCTTAATTTGACGCGGACTAATATTAAGCCGACACTACGGTACGCTTGTGAGTTGCCCCGGGTCGTCCGATTCACTGAATTACAAGTCCAAATTCACTGGTTAGAAAGAAAGAAAGAAAGAAAGAAAAAACATTTATTTAGCACCAGGCACGATGCAGCATAAATAAAAAAAAAAGACAATCAAGGTGTGACAGTGGAAGTAATAAAAATATAAGAGTTAAAAAATTGAAACAGAAGAATTAGAAAAGAGACGCTGACAACATGCCTATGCTAAAAGGGTCATCCACTCAGTGTAAGCCAGGCATACAGGTTACCCAACACTGATTTTCAGTGGGCACCCATGCAGTGACGCACGGATGGTAGCAACATTGAATGGTTAGACAAAGACAACAAAAATATTTACTGTTAACACTTTCTCCACACGGGGTCACCAATTTAGATGGTGAGGGGTCGTGTCCAGAGAGAAGTAAATAAATCGAATACTAATTAATACACTTTTAATATCTGACTCCAATTAAGGTTACATACAATTTAGTACGGTCACAATACTTGGTAGCGTGCATCTGTAGTGCGATATACGGGACAACTGGAGAGGCGAACCAATGCAAGTACAGTGTGAACAATATTGATGCGTCAACAATTAGAGTAGGTCCCACTACAGTTAATTAACTAAAAATCATTGTTTGGTAAGCCTATCCACTCTAACGTCCGGGCCGCGCGACCGTTTATCTCTCTAACGTCCAGCTGCGCGCGGCGTCCGAACCGCGCGCGACTCGCAAGTTCGTCGTAACAAAAAACCTATATAGCTACTGAACCGTAATGGCTAGAATAAAGAAAAAAATACCAAAAAAAAGATTGAAGAATACTGATCAATATTAACAATTTTTTTTAATCGTAAGTTATAATCTTTGATACAAAAAACCGGGTTAAACATGTAATTCAGAAAAAAAATACACAAATATTTCTACCTTTTTAGAATATAAGGCACAACTATTGCATATTTTATCAATAAAATATTTTTACAACAAACTAGACTTATTACCCTTTCTTCTGATGTATATACGATTACATTCGGTTAACTCTAAGTATTTTAATTACATCAAAACAAAACACTACTCCTCGAAATTTTACCGCGATGTCCCGAGCGCCCTTGACTCGTCCGAGAAGGCGAAATAATAGCAATATGGCCGCCCGTCTAAGGTTTCCCACACACGATGTAATTTTAATAAAATATTTTAAATAATTTTATGAATTAGTTTTATGCAATAATTGTATTTTTGAAGTTGTTTATTTGTTCTAGTTGGTTATTTAAATAAAAAGCAAATAAAAAAATCAATATATAATATAATAATTTATTCCTTCCACACATTTATATATGGTAAGCCATAAAACAATTTTCAATGCAGAGATTGACGTCGCATTGTAGACACTTCCATATGGTCACCGCGACCCCCACGTCCCCTGTTTCCCCCACGTCCCCTGTTTCCCCCACGTCCCCTAGTTCCCCCATTTCCCTCAACATAAAAGCTTTCATTTGGTGATCTGCATGAATAATTTAAAATATTAGTATTGTTAAAAGAATAAAATAAAATTTGGCGAAGCATTAAAATATATGCGACCATGCAACACGTGCAAGGGCAACAGTAAAAAAGAAAGGTAGTCAAATCCACAAGTGCATTTTTTTACATTTAGCGGAAATTAATCAACACGAACAAACATGTAATTAATGTTTCAAAAAAAAAAAAAACCATTAGAACATTATACATATCCAACGGAAACCAAGCGAAAAATAAATGATGAATATTAGTACAAAACCCAAAAGTGCATTTTATATTAAATATTAGTATCATCTCAAGCAAAATATTATACCACCACTAGCAAAACAAAAATAATGCAAACATATTTTGCCGTGTATAGCGAACCTTATTTATCACGTTTCATGTAACGTCCGTGGATACCAAACAGTCCACATCAAAAAACCTGAGGAACACATTGACATTATTATGGAATCTTCAGTGAATTTAGTATATTTCTCTTTGAAAAATGTATTATTTTGCTTATTACGAAATGTATTTCGATATTTTATATACTATTGTAATGCAAAGTATGTAAAATATGTATAAACAAAACTAAAAGTGGCCGACACCATACGACCGGCCATTTTTTTCGAAACAACAATCGTTTGAAGTTAAAAGTAGACTAGATTTATCAGCTAAAACTGTGATATTTATACATCATCGTAAAGCACAAATCTTCTAGTTTATTTTGATGTATAACACTTGCAAGATAAATAAAACAAAACTGTAGTACTTACGACATAATTGTTGGCACTCACAAAAACACTTCACAACACGCGCGTCAAACGAGTCAACTGAATTTAAAAAATTATATTTTGTTTGTCAAAGCTTATTACACTGCCATCTCTATTTTTTTCGTCGAACTATTTATTCAACTGTATAGATAATCTGTCAAAACTCACCAATCGAGACCATATTTTAAACTAGAGGGCATTAAACACAACTCGTCGCTTTGGATACTATAGTATCCATGGGCGTATGACGCTCCTTTTTTCTTGGATACTGTACTATCCACGGACGTCAGAGTGGCTATACAGTTTTGTGGTATTTTATTCATAAGGTCAAGCATAAAGCTTTTCGGGGGTCTGTATTATGGTTTTAGTATGGATTTCTGATGAGACTTCAGAAATTTCAACAGAGGTACAACTTCATTGTGTTGAAGGCAATAACACTTCTTCCATCTTATCATCTTCTTCAAATAAAGGTTCTTCGAATGAAGGTTCGTCTTCGAATGATGGTTCTTCTTCAAATAAAGGTTCTTCTCCGAATGAAGGTTCGTCTTCGAATGAAGGTTCTTCTTCAAATGAAGGTTCTTCTTCAAATGAAGGTTCTTCTTCAAATGAAGGTTCTTCTTCAAATGAAGGTTCTTCTTCAAATGAAGGTTCTTCTTCAAATGAAGGTTCTTCTTCAAATGAAGGTTCTTCTTCAAATGAAGGTTCTTCTTCAAATTAAGGTTCTTCTTCAAATGAAGGTTCTTCTGCAAATTAAGGTTCTTCTTCAAATGAAGGTTCTTCTTCAAATGACGGTTCTTCTTCAAATGAAGGTTCTTCTTCAAATGAAGGTTCTTCTTCAAATGGAGGTTCTTCAAAGTTCCACGTCATTTTCCTTTTGTAAATGGCACAATAAGTTGTTCTATCCGATGTTCTTGGTTTCACTTGTACTCCTTTGCTGGCTTTTGTAGTAAATGGATTTTCGCAAAGTGAATGAAATGATGAGTAAGATGTAGACGTGCTAGGTCTAGGTTCACTAATTTCTTGATGAACAGTTGAAATTGGTGTCCTCACAAGAGAATGTGGTAACCAAGACTTAATATTTAGATTTTATTCTTTCAAGGATAATTTTGGCGCTGTTCTTCTAGTTTTTCGGGGTCCGATTTTAATCGCTCCCTATAGCGTCTCATCTTTTCGGCTGCGCGAAACGGCACTTCTTCTACAAAATTATATTAAAATCATATTGCTTGTAAAAAAAAACCAATATAAGTGTTCATATACCTGATTAAGTAATATATTCCTCAGTATCCTCAGTATTCCTCCTCTTTTTGCGCCCAGCGGGCGCAGGCGCAAGCGCCTGCGGCGCAGCCAGGGTCTGCGCCATCTCCAGGAGCTGTCCTGGTGCACTCCCTCAGCGGTGGGCACCATGCCGTTGCAAAGCCACCTTCATTATGGTGGCCTCTGCTGTTTTGAGGAGGGCGGTCCTGGCAGGCTGGTATTTGGTCATAGCCAGCCTGCGGAGCTCCTCCATGATGACTTGGAGGAAGCCCCCGGAATCGCCCTTGCTCCCGGAACCGCGCTCGCCCTCCGACATGTCGACGCCGGACATTTCCGCCCCGCGGAGGACTCTGAGCGGGCAGCGCTCGAAAGAGCCCTGCCCTCCGCAGCCAGCTGCTCGGCTGATTCCGCGCAGGCAGCGGTACCCAGTTTTCGGCGACCGCTGCCCTTGCCGCCCCTACCCCGCGCCGCCGTGGGGACTTAAGCCCCACGGGCGCCAGAGCCCCTTGGGCTCCCTTCTCCTGCCACTGCAGGCGAGCTAAGCTCACCCGCACTCTCCTCCTCCGATTGTGTGGTTTTATTTTGATTGATATTCTTCATAAAGTTCCCACGAGTATGGGGGAAATTCTCTTTATAATATTAGTATAGATGAGTCTATGTATGTATATTGTATTGTACTCGTGTATAGGTATATGGGTCATTGTCAAAACAGGGTTCAGATAAAAAATAAAAGAAATAGGTACAGTTATTTCTAAATAATTTGTCCTTTATTTAATAAAAGTGATTAATTGTAACAATAATCAATTATTGTGTGAGATCAAACTTAACAATTAGAATAGTTATTTAAAAATACGGTTTTCTAGGTCCACCGAAAAGACAGATGTCTACCGAATGTACTAAAAGTGAAATTTAGCAACAACCTTCACATAATAGAATCTTCTATAATATTAATCCAATCGTCTCACAGGAAACGATAAAAAAGTCAATGCAGTATCATTGAAAAGTAAATTACAACCAAAAACACCAAAAACACTGTCTTCTTGGTGGACATAATATCTTCATCCTCGGATGACGACCAAAAATGTTGAACCGATAGAAGTACTCAAATACGTCTTGTGTACTTCTATCGGAGTTCCGGGTCTTGAAGTAGGTGGTGAACATGAACTGTCGGAGTAAACATCGGCAAACTTAAGGCGTTAACGAAATTTAAGGCCATGCATGATCTTGGAACAGGTTGGTTTTTGTAAATCTCTTGTAAATCTAAAAATTACCTTGATTATTTTCTTTGCTAAAGATACGCTCGCAGTCTGCGTTCGATTGTGGTAAACATAATAGGTACATTTAAAGTAAAATGTATTCCATTACGGATTTTATTCCAAAACACATCAGTTTTCTGTGAGCTAATTTCAAATAATGATATTTTATTTC